CTAAGATAAAATAAGACATGAAGTTGCTTAAAAAAAAGTAGTCACTGTGGGAAAAAAGCACTTAGGTAGAAAAATCAGAACTCACCGAATTGTTGTATAGCCTTGTCCGCAGACCAAGGCAATTCCAGCGTGATGTGGACGCGACGACGAGTGTTTTGCGCTCTTCGGTCAGACTAAAACGATTCACCCTGCATCATAGTTAACGTTTACTATGTGTTTAACATACCTGCAGAGAAATTCCACTAGATGCTGCTTCTGATATTATAGCGATCTTCTTCTCGCCCTTCATAAACTTGTCCTTTTCATCCATGTTCATAAGTTCTAATGGAACATCGGCACCCGCGTGTCGCAGTTCATATTCAACCTCACCATCTTCTCTTGTGACTATTCGACCTTTTCTTCCGGTCATCTAGCACAATAACATTGTGAAACTATCACAAGGTCACAATCACGGTTTTGAACCGTGACTAACCTCAGCAACATATTCAGGCCCTCCTAGCTGATCTATAAGTAGATCAAGAGTGTTAGGTGGTAGTGAAGGTCCAAGACGTTCTACTGCTGACAACAACTCAGCCTAAATCATTTCCCGTAGTAAAGATGGAATGCTTGCAGTTCTAGCGAAAACTAAAAATCGTACCTTTATCATCTTAGGGTTAATACTCTCATTAGACAAAGGATCAATGATGCGAGATGACGATATAAATTGGGTTGCAGTGTTTCTCTGGAGAAGTAGAATATTAGATATTGACTATTTCAGGAGTGTGAGAAACTCACCATCGCATCACTTTCAAAATCTCGTCGTTTTTTCATTTCTGCTTCGCGTGCTAACCGTCTCATGCGCTTCTTTCGACGTTTACGTCTAGCCCGACGTCGTTGTCGGAGTTCTTCGAGCTCTTCGTTGGATTTAGTCTGAATGTGCGTCTGAGTGAACTTATAAAGCAAACAGATTCTGAGTGCATACCTGTTTTTGCTTCCTCGGTGAGTCTTCAACCACTTGTTGCTTTGACGCCCATGGGTCATCTGTAAAGTATGAGTAAAATAGGAAGAAAGATACCTGAAAATTGT